ACTAAAATAATTTAAATCTAGCATTAGCCAAAAGTGACGTCAGGTTGTTATCAAAATTTTCTTTAATTCTCTTAATTAAATATCTCACAATCTTAAGGTCTGACTCTTAATTTTATTATTGCAGTAGCTGTCCAAACTTGAAACAGAATTACTGCATAACGGCTAATTTGAGAGCTAAGAATCAAAATATCTACAAATGTTGGATTCTAGTATTTTAATTATTTCATAGCGACTTCTGTATTTTCTTCACAACCGTAATCTTAGCAAGGTGGATATATTATGTACGTATTATTAAAATACCTAACAAGTTCATGTTCGGCAAGAAAAAAAAATCACATCAATATAGATCACAATTGTTTATTATCCATAATCAAAGTATCCATCCAGAGTCCTTAAAAACAAAACGGGTTGTTTTCAAATGTTTCCTTTAGATGTCCATTAGCAGCAGTTTCCTGTAAGTAAACATATACATAATCAGTTTAAATGACGGATAAAATCACACGATTTGCTTACAGAAGCAACTCGTGTTGCCAGATTTAAAGAGTAGGACAACTACGGTAGGTACAATGCAATAGGGACTTACTTATGTCCTAAGAAAGGTCTACTAGGCGTTTGACATAAGTCAAAAAAATTTAACATTTATTTATTTATAATGCCTTGGTCTTCGTTAGTGACCTTTACTTCTGTACCATAAGGTCCAAGTGTGATTCCAGATCAGAGATCAGAGAAAAACACAGAAAAATAATTAATAGATAAATTTAAACCCAATGTTATTCCACATGGAAACACAAACAGATACTGCCACTTATTTCCTTGTAAAATTTTGTTCGTGTTGTACTCCCAGTATAAACTAAAGAAAAATCTAATCGGATTAAAGCACTCTTTAAAGAACAATAATTAAAAACAAACTTACCTGTCTTAGGTGGACAATCGGAGCAGTTGGCATCGCAGTTACAGTCGTCTTTACAGGCGGCACCGTCCTTGCACGACTCTACTTGAAATCACGTTTCATAGAATAAGCAAAGCAGTCAAAAAGATTGTTGAAAACTGAACTTGGATAATTGGTTGACTGAAGCAATTAGTGACTGAACATTTAAATTCAACTAACAATCAGACAGATAGGATACAAAAGAAACAGAATCTCTTGCTTGTGGCACCGAAGTTTCCCATAACATAAAATTTTGATAAAAGAATCGAGGCCTCGTTTTATTATCAAGTAACGATTTGAGTATATCAGATTAGGTGAAAGATCAAATTAGGTGAAAGAGCATAGAGGTCACAGTATACCTTGAAGATACGGCCCTGAGGATTCAAGTATGGGAGGATGAAGTAATAAAATTGAAATACAACTTGAACTACAATAAATCCACGGAATTATTTTTGCTAATAATTGCATGCTTGCTTACATTCTTGTACGGAAAAAAACTCTGACAATTTACTGAACTCATAATACATTTTCATACCTTTGCACGGTTCACAGGGGGCAGGCATGTCGTAAGATTATCACGATAGTTGATTACTGTGCTAGATCTCTCATAGAATCAGTTTATATAGATGAAACTTCACGTAAAAAACATAAAGAAACAGTTGCAAGGCTGATCTGAGACCTCACTATTGTTGTTTAAGCATTGTTGGCTTTTTGTTACAAGATTAGTTTTTTGGTTTAAGTAACTTAAGATTTACTTTTGACAGTTTTTTTATTTATACCGTATTTATAAGGGATGACATCGTGGGGAAATTCTGTAACTCAGAGCAAATGGGTTGGCGAAAAATATTCCTGACATTGGACCATTAGATAGGTTGCTGTATAGCCAATTCATCGCCATGAAACGCCTGAAGTGAGCATCGGAATGGTACTTCGATAAGGCGATGCGGCACGATAACCGGTTTATCGCGGTCACTACAGAATACTCTTTGGATTTTTTATTCATGCAAGAACCAGTAAAGCCACAGAAGTGTCCTTTCGGATCCTCCGGATCCACAAACACTTTTGCTAGACGCTTGCAGCTTAATACTAGGATCAAGTTTAGATACCCTTGGTAACCGTACTCGTCAAACTCATTGAAAACTTCAGTGAAACCTAGCGCATAACATCAACTCGCCACATTTCTAGCCAGATCTTTCCAGAGGCCCTTGGGCAGTTGTTAACAAATCCTTCTCCTCCAGGCTGAGTTTGTGCTCGTTCAACCATACCATCGAAGCTGAAAAGGCCTTCGGGCTACTAGTTGACCATTCCATTACAAAAACAATAGTAGATAGGCGCCACATTAAAATCGAAACGAGAGGCTACCGAAAACAAATTTTTGTAACTGAAAAAGACTGGTAAATTCACTAAATTGAGAAGTGTCCCAAAATATTATCTGGTTAAGAATATGTTATGTTGGTCAAAACCTACAAAGTGCAAAAGTGTGACGGTAGGTCTCATAGTACAGCAGAGATTTGACAAAAACCCGAATGGCGCTCACGACATTTTTATTATAAGTTGCATACATTCAAGGGTGCCTCCACGGTGTTTTCCGAGCGCTATGACATGCCCTTCTTCAAACGAGGCTTGCGGAGAGTACTTTATGGTAGGCAGCAGCTTGGCTCTGCCCCTGGCATTGCTGACGTCCATGAGCGACGGTGACCACTTACCATCAGGTGGGCCGTATGCTCGTCTGCCTACAACGGTAGGACCTCTTGTGAGTCCGCACGGGTAGGTACCACCTCCCTGCCTATTTCAGCCGTGAAGCAGTAATGCGTTTCGGTTTGAAAGGTGGGGCAGTCGTTGTAATTATACTGAGACCTTAGAACTTATACCTCAAGGTGCGTGACGCGTTTACGTTGTAGATGTCTATGGGCTCCAGTAACCACTTAACACCAGGTGGACTGTGAGCTCGTCCACTCACCTTAGCAATAAAAAAATAAAAAAAGTTCCAAATAAAAACATTCGGTCGTCGATCCACCCAGCTCGATCGAAGATCTTACCCTTTTAATTTCCCATTAAAGTTTTTATATTCTTGTTTGAAGTCGTCTTTTAATTTCGCGTTTTCGTATTTCTTGTCATTATAATAATTGTATTTCCTTCGCATCGAATACTTTATAGCTTTCGAGGTAACGGTCGTCTCTGTGTTTCTTTGGTGCCATATGCACAATGCTATAAGACATTATTCCAAGATAATAATTATAGTAATTGTTTTTTGTTCTATGTTTTTATGAAAGGATTACTGGTGGCCCGGGGGCTTTTCCAGTTTCACTGGGACAGGTGGGCGAGCACGAACTCAGCCAGGAGAGGCGGGATGTGTTAACAGCTTTGAGCGACTTCGAAGGAGACTTAACAGCTTAAGGGCAGCTGCTTCACGAATGCATCTACTACCGGATCGGAATCGCGACCCGCTGAGATGCCCCGGCGAGAAACTCGGCGGGCTGATATATGGGTTAAGTTTGACTTCGTACTTTTTTATTATTGCCGTATAGACAGACGAGCATACGGCCCACTTGAGGGTGAGTGGTTACCGTCGCATGGACGTCAGCAGGGGCAGAGCCAAGAAGAAGGATAGGTCATAGCGCTCGGGAAACACCGTGGAGGGGACCGCATTCCAAATCCGGATAATACGTGACAAAAAGATCTCTGGAACCACACTGTGGATAAACGCAGTGGCTCCAGCTAGTATGGATGAACTCTACTCCAATGGCGGGCGATGGTAAAACGAGATCAGGGTATCATCTCAAACAAATCCTCAGAGCACTCCCCATGGAATATACGGTACAAAATACAGAGGGAACCGAAGTCCCTCCGCAGATCAAGAGGTTCCAAACGATCCTCTTTAGCGAGTTTAAAGAGTACGGTTACCAGGTCCCTAAACCTACTTCTGGTTTTAGAGTGACTCAATTCATTGACTGTTCGTGTATTGACAAGTCAAGTCAAGTTCAAGTCCCGTTCATTTGGCTAAATAGCAGCTGCTATTGAAGCATTAATTGGTTCATTTATTAGGCTCTAACAATACGGTTTACAGTGAAAACCCATATTCACTATAGCGTGAATGGAAAAATGAAAAATGAACTACTTGGAAAATGAGGGAGGCGTCTTAATAAGAGCTATATCTTAAAACCAAAGTGTCTGAGAGCTCTGCAGCGGTTATAAACAGAATTATGCTTCTGCGATCTGCTCAGTTTCACAATTTAGAGAGAGAGAGAGAGAGAGAGAGAGAGAGAGAGAGAAAATTGTGTAGCAAAACACATTTAACATTGAAAAACAGTCAAAGGTCGGTCTTTTCCGTTCCATCGTTTTATCTAGTAATTCTACAGTAGGTATTTTGTTACAATATTCAGAGTGATCTAAAAAATAGATCCTACAATCTTTCAGATATGTACCATATCTACAGAAAAATATTTTAAATTGAATCAAATGTCCGATATAGCATTTGGTTTTTACTTTGCTAGCGACCAAAACAAAAAGTCAAGGTACCCTTTTTTTTTAATTACTTCTCAGTGAAGTTATAATTAGTTTCGCCTCATCAAACAAAACGCTTCGAATCGTAAGGACATTTTTTTAAGACATGGATAGTACTCGTATACAACAATTTTACAAGGCATTATTGAATTTCTGTCGTCTTGATAATTCTATAGCTTATTGGAATATACAACATTTCCGAAGCATATTATTTGCTGATATTTGCTTCTGTACGCTATCTCATCTTTTTTCACATTCTAAATTATTTTATTTATTAAATTTAAGAATTTAAAAATTAGTAAGTATTTAGTGTTCTTTTACATCATCACAACGGCAAGGAACTTGTGTTTTAATTATAAAAACTCAAAAAATACGTAAAAGTCGTCTTATTGGTAACAGTGTAATTTAATGGTATCTTTCTGATTATTTTAAAAATGAATTTCAGTTGTGGAATCTGAAAAACACAGTCCGAAGTCAGGGCGATTTGTCTTTAGCTTGCCTATCTCCAACCCATAGGCGGAAATACGGCGATATCCATTCTGCTCAAAAAAAAAAACTAACAACAACACAGTTTGTCCAATTTAAATGTATTATGTTTATTAATCAGATTACATTCTCAATATTATGATACAATTTTCATTACCGAGATTACAATTTACAATTACGTATTATAATTTTCTAGTCGATTTCATGATTTGGTAGTCTTCTTGCTGGCTTCCACTGGTGCTGGCTTCTTGCCGGAACAAATGCACGAAGAATCGCATTTACAATTCTGACAACACTGGTTTGTGGTGCATTTGCAATCTGGCAACATAAATTTTAGGTATAATTTTAAATTCATGGCGTATATTAAAATACTATTGATAGGGCGTCTTGTGAACGCGCACAGGTATTAGGTACTAGTGGTAGGACCTCTTGTGAGTCCGCACGGGTAGGTACCACCACTCTGCCATTTATACCGTGAAGCAGTAATGCGTTTCGGTTTGAAGGGTGGGGAAGCCGTTGTAACTATACTGAGACCTTAGAACTTATATCTCAAGGTGGCGCACTTACGTTGTATATATTTATGGACTCCAATAACCACTTAACACCAGGTGGGCTGTGAGCTCGTCCATCCCATTTAAGCAATAAATAAAAATAAAAAAGGTAGGTACCACCACCCTGGTCATTTATGCCACGAAGCAGCACCGAGATCCGGTTTGAAGGGTGGGGCAGCCGTCGTACTATAGAACTAAGACTTAGAACTGATGTCTCAAGGTAGATTTATTTTTACTTTTGTTGATGGCTCCGATAACCACTAGGTGGGTTGTGATCTCAATAGCCCGGCTTAGCAATAAAAAAAACAAATTAAAAAAAGCTCCTTTTTTTCAATTATATGACATCTAAGACGGCCATGGTATTTGTATCAAATGACTGGAATCATGCCGGGTGCCACAGGCTGATACCAAGTGTATACGTGTCAAATATGTGTACGGCTTTAACGAGATGAAGGATAATTCCTTCCTATCGTCGTATTGTGACCCCACATTTTTGTTCCTACCTATTTTAGTAACCTCGAAGGGTTATACTAGATTCGACGAACGAGTAGGTGAACTCACGGGGCTCTAACCTGCAGACCTTGCCAACACTAACCCTAGCGAGAGCTTCGCTAGCTGAACCCTTGCTCGCCCACCTGTCTTTGTGAAAGTGAAAAGGTCTCCGTGCCACCAGTACACTCTCAATCATAAAAAAAAGCTTATCAGAATCTACCACCGGGTCGGAAACGCCACCCACTGAGAAGATCCGGCGAGAAACTCAGTGGGCTTACCCCACACGGGATTGAAACACCGTCCAGCTTTCTCTGGCGCGAAGCAGTCACGAGTTCTCGGTGAAAGAATGTTTTAAATTAATACCTACGTAATATGTTCAGATCGACTATCTGTTTCACGCCATTGACATTGTCGAGATGATAATGAGATGCATCGTACGTGAATGCATATAATTAATAATAACGCTAAAGATACTGATATCTTCGTTCGGTTCAAAGTTTTTGTTTGTGTTTTACTTAAGTTTTATCGAATGAACAATATATTTTTTTTAAACAAAAAACTCTTAGTAGATTTTTTTAATTTTGCTGCAATAATTAGGATTCGATATATATTTTTTTTAACCGTAACTAATTATAATGAAGCATTCAGAAGTATGTACATACGTATATTATTTTCATTGTTTTATTTATTGGAACAAGCTAACCTTATGAGTCAAGTAACTTCCGTGCTATGTATGATGTCGAGCACAAAAAAATTAGGGATCCTTACTAAAACTCCAATAATGTAACCCAAGGTGTAAAAAATTACCTAAAATATTCTTTACATCGCGTGCCCTACGAAAACTATTGATGATAGAATAAAATAATGTACTGTGACTTTGTAGAAAACATTATTATTTACAAAAAGTGTCGCGACAGCATATGTCTAACTATTATAGTTATGGCGCAATAAGTGTTCTTTTATTTAAAAAAATACGAAAACGTCAAATATCGTTGAAATTTTTGTTAAAGACCCGAGCGGAGCCGGACCGGGCCGCTAGTCTATACTAATATTATAAAGAGGAAAGATTTGTTCGTTTGTTTGTATTGAATAGACTCCGAAACTACTGAACCGATTTGAAAAATTGTTTCACTGTTTGGACGCTACACTATTTCCAAGTGACATAGGCTATTATAATCTTTTTTGAAAAAAATTAGGGATACTAAAACTCCAATAATGTAACCCCAGGTGTAAAAAATTACCTAAAATATTCTTTATATCGCGTGCCCTGCGAAAACTATTGATGATAGAATAAAATAATGTACTACGACTTTGTAGAAAACATTATTATTTACAAAAAGTGTCGCGACAGCATATGTCTAACTATTATAGTTATGGCGCAAAAAGTGTTCTTTTATTTAAAAAAATACGAAAACGTCAAATATCGTTGAAATTTTTGTTAAAGACCCGAGCGGAGCCGGACCGGGCCGCTAGTCTATATTAATATTATAAAGAGGAAAGATTTGTTCGTTTGTTTGTATTGAATAGACTCCGAAACTACTGAACCGATTTGAAAAATTGTTTCACTGTTTGGATGCTACACTATTTCCAAGTGACATAGGCTATTATAATCTTTTTTGAAAAAAAATAGGGATACTAAAACTCCAATAATGTAACCCCAGGTGTAAAAAATTACCTAAAATATTCTTTATATCGCGTGCCCTACGAAAACTATTGATGATAGAATAAAATAATGTACTACGACTTTGTAGAAAACATTATTATATACAAAAAGTGTCGCGACAGCATATGTCTAACTATTATAGTTATGACGCAATAAGTGTTCTTTTATTTAAAAATAAAATAACGTCAAATATCGTTGAGATTTTTGTGAAAGACCCGAGCGGAGCCGGAGCGGGCCGCTAGTAACTAATAAAGCACAGTTACTACGGTGAGAATGTTTTTGTAAACGTCATAATAACTATGTGGCATATTTATAACGTATAAAGTATGATATTGTTAACAGTATAGCGATGCTCCAATTCATTAATAATTTTACTGGTGGTAGGACCTCTTGTGAGTCCGCACGGGTAGGTACCACCATCCTGCCTATTTCTGCTGTGAAGCAGTAATGCGTTTCGGTTTGAAAGGTGCTGTTGTAGCTATACTGAGACCTTAGAACTCATCTCTCAAGGTGGGTGGCGGCATTTACGTTGTAAATGTCTATGAGCTCCAGTAATTAACACCAGGTGGGTTGTGACCTCGTCCACCAATTTAAGCAATAAAAGATGAAAATAAAATGAAAATTAGCTACTCACCGTCTCCGCAACCTCCGCACGGCATTGTTAATGGTTTGAAATGAGACTAATGTGGTTAAATGTTGAATACCAAAAGTCTTGTGCTGTAAGAACGACTTGTTTGATCAACTGAAAACGTAATGCAGTTTATATACGTTTATAAACTCGCGTTATCGATACACTCGATCGTTCCGAAGCATGTTATTGTATTAAATATAAATATTTTTAAGGTGTCATTTACCTATAATCGCGGGAAATCTAGCGGCACGACACGAGAACCCTCTCATCGTGGCCGCCGGTAACTACATTCCCGATCCTGCGGAAAAAATGGAAAGCAGTCGACGTCGCCCAAAACACGTCATCTCGGATCCTCCCGATCCACTGACGGTGCTTCTAGGTACTTCAAGCACCGGTCACCGTTCTCGTCGAACCCGTCGCTTGCGACGAAGGGCTCGACGAGTAAATTGACCCTCAGACACAGCCCACTGAGTTTCTCGCCGGATCTTCTCAGTGGGTCGCGTTTCCGATCCGATGGTAGATTCTGCGAAGCACGACTCTTGCTAGGGTTCGTGTTAGCAACGTCGTCAGGTTTGAGATCCGTGAGCTCACCTACTAGTTAAGGTTACGCTGAAATAGCCTCTCAAGGCTCCCAGCTTAGGTTAGTGCAGGACTAAAGAGAGGAAAGAAGAAAAGAGTCCAGTAATAAACGGGCTCAGTGGGTAATCTTAGATTATTACGACCTGTAGACAGTTCTCCTCCTGCTTGCGTCGTAAATCCTCAATGACGGTCTGGTCGTGGTTTGCGAGTGATCGCTGTGCAATTTGAGAATCTTCCGACGTACTATATCAGACCAAGTCGATCTGTTCTCGGCGGCGTGGACCGCCTCACATATGGTGACGTTCAGTGCGGTGCGGATTTGGTCTGACAAATACCGTAAATTTGAGGCCACGCAGTGATCCATAAACCGACGATGGAAGCGTATTAATGAGCAATTGTAAGCTTCTTCTATTTGTAACGGCTCGATAAAGCCGTTTTCTCCAGTGAAGCTATGACTTATCATCATATGTATATCGCTTTGCGTATATAGCGCTTTGAATTGCGCTCTTTTAAGTTTTCTATCCCAAAAACCGTCGATTTTGCTATGTATTGTCTATAACTACTGCGACTTGTTAATCGTAGATGCTCACGATATCTGTGAAAAGAAAAAGTCCAGAACTTCGGAACTGTGAATATTTAATTTTGAATTTAAAAATCGTATGTATTTTTAACTGCCAATGTGGGCAGGCATAGCCCGATTGATGGTAAGAACTCACGTCGCCCGTGGATATCTGAGCTTCTTAAATTCATAAGTTAACATATTAAGTGTTCTGCGCGCATATTTTCATGTCAAACCAACATAAAATAACTCAGATATTCAGTTCTATTTCGGAACACGAATCGAAAACAACGCAGCGGTTACATATTCACATAATAGTAAGTAGGTACAATATTTTATCAATCTATAAAACTTCACATTGTGATGTTTTGAAATACTTCGCTTTCCAATGCGCGATGCGTTTGCAAGTTCTTCGCAAACACCTTAAGCACCATCATCAAATGGTAAGAGCTACATACATACGAAGCCTATAAAATCAAACGCCATAATGTCGTAAAATGTATTAACAATGGCTCTATCTTGTTTAGTTAGTTGAACATGCTTTAGTGTTTTCATGTTATAACATTCAGTTAAATTCAGTTCAAAAAAGTTAAGTTTACTCTGTATTAAGTACTAATAAACGAAGTTTTATCATTTAAAATTCAGATTTTTTTTTTATTTTTTTTTTATTGCTTAGATGGGTGGACGAGCTCACAGCCCACCTGATGTTAAGTGGTTACTGGAGCCCATAGACATCCACAACGTAAATGCGCCACCCACCTTGAGATACAAGTTCTAAGGTCTCAAGTATAGTAACGACGGCTGCCCTACCCTTCAAACCGAAACGCATTACTGCTTCACGGCAGAAATAGGCAGGGTGGTGGTACCCACCCGCGCGGACTCACAAGAGGTCCTACCACCAGTAATTACGCAAATTATAATTTTGCGGGTTTCATTTTTATTACACGATGTTATTCCTTCACCGTGGAAGTCAATCGTGAACATTTGTTGAGTACGTATTTCATTTGAAAAATTGGTACCCGCCTGCGGGATTCGAACACCGGTGCATCGCTCAACACGAATGCACCGGACGTCTTATCCGTTAGGCCACGACGACTTTACAATTAGGCCACGACGACTTTTACTTACTTATTATTAGTAATATTCTCATTCTTTATAAATCTGCTTTAAAATAAAGAATATCGTAGCTATACGAACAAAGTTATTTCAGATTCTCAAACCGGGAGTGTTTGCTAACACTGGCCCTAGCAAGACTTCGATGGATCGGAAGGATCCGTAATGACGTGTTTAGGGCCGATTTTTGTAGTTTACCTGAATATTTGACAGACTTGGATATAGCTGCCTTTGATTTTATAGGCCTCATATATGCATGATTTGCGAACGCGGGCAAAATACTCATAGAGACAACCCGCTGAGTTACTCACCGTCTTCTTCTCTTCTCGTTCTTCTCAGTGGGTCGCGATTCCGGTCCGGTAGTAGATTCAGCGAAGCACTGCTCTTGCTAGGGCTAGTGTTAGTTCTCTCAAGTTGAGCTCATTTGCTCAACCGATCCGCGTGAAACTGGAATAGCTCCTTAGTCTACTAAAGATTATGTAGAAAAAATAAAGCAAAAAAAAACAGTGTAAGACAGTCTCTAAATATATTAAATCGTTTCATCTACGTAAAGTTCGTACCTACCTTATCACACGCTCATTCTTCCTTTTTTTATTTATTGCCCACCTGATGGTGAGTGGTAACCGTCGCTTATTACGCCAGCAATGCCAGGAGCAGAGCCAAACCGCTGCCCACCGTTTAATATTCTCCACAAGCCTCGTTTGAAGAAGGACATGTTATAGCGCTCAGGAAACAACGTGGACCTATTTCTGTCGCAAAAGGCGGATCTAGCGACGCGTTCTAGTCTGAATGATGGGACAACCGTTATACAATACAATTGGGACTTTAATCTCGTGTCAAGGTTAGTAAGAAAAACCTATGCAATAAAAAATCCAAGTTCATTACTAGTGTTTAGTTTTACTTTGAGGAGAGTATTTTATCTTTTGGGTCCTCAGCGCTGTCGATACCAATTCGTGATAAAATCTCTGGTTATTAAATCAGGCTATGACAACCAGCAATGGATCGTGAACAACTGAAATGTGTTTACATCATTGTATTTATCTAGTCCAAAGCGAGTCAATTTATTTAGCTCTCGTTAAATGAAAGGGCTTATTCTCGAACATTCTGTGAAGTTTCTTAAACACACAACTATTCAAAACAGCGTGATAAGGAAGATAAGGTGATCTTTGATATGTCGATATTATTTCTTGGAGCGCAAAATGAAGATAATGGTGGCTTAGTAATAAACACGGCAGTCATTGTAGCATGTACTCATACCACTTTTACTTCGGTGTTGGTAATGATGTAAAGGTTAACCGAATTCGAACGTAACACAAAAGCAATTACTGAAGGTCCTATCACATTGGAATGAGGACTATTTCTCTCCCTACCTTACAAACCGGTACATTTCTTTACGTCAGAAGTAAGTATTATAACGCAGTAGTAAGTTCCTGGTGGTAGAGCGTCAGATGAGCCCGTAAGGTCGGGTACCATCATCCTGCTTATTGCTGCCGTGAAGCAGTAATGTGTTTCGGTTTGAAGGGTGGGTCAGCCGTTGTACTGTAAAATTGAGGCTTAAACTCATATCTAGTTTTTTATTTTTATTGCTTAGATGGTTGGACGAGCTCACAGCCCACCTGGTGTTAAGTGGTTACTGGAGCCCATAGACATCTACAACGTAAATGCGCCACCCATCTTGAGGTATAAGTTCTAAGGTCTCAGTATAGTGTAGTAGTAGAAATAGGCAGGGTGGTGGTACCTACCCGCGCGGACTTACAAGAGGTCCTACCACCAGTAATTACGCAAAGTATAATTTTGCGGGTTTGATTTTTAATACACCTTCCTTATTTATTATTTATTTATTTAGTTATTCCTTCACCGTGGAAGTCAATCGTGAACATTTGTTGAGTATGTATTTCATTAGAAAAATTGGTACCCGCCTGAGATTCGAACACCGGTGCATCGCTAGATACGAATGCACCGGACGTCTTATCGCTTAGGCCACGATGACTTCAATGTGGGTGATGCCACTTACGTAGTTAACATCTATGGACTCAGTGTGCTTAGTGCGAGTTTTTTAAAGTTCTCGATGCCGTCAAAGTTAACTCAAATTTGTATGGAGTTGAAACATTTGCCTACGTTTGCCGCTGGGGGTGCTGTTCCAACTTTTACTTTTACGCTATCGAGAACGTTAAAAAACTCGCACTAAGCACAAAGGTATCACACCATATACCCGATCCTGCGGACCGAATGGTAAACAGTCCAAGTGGCCCTAAACACGTCATTTCGGATCCTCCCGATCCACTAACGATGCTTTTAGGTACCCGAAGCACCGGTCATCGTCCTGAGCATGCCATGAGTTCATGAGCTCACTGGTGACGCTGACATGGTCTCTCTAGACCATAAGCTTAGCTAGGAAAAAAAAGTGTTGGACGAATAAACTAACCCATAGGCACAGCCCACTGTGTTTCTCGTCGGATCTTCTCAGTGGATCGCGTTTCCGATCCGGTGGTAGATTTTGCGAAACACTGCTCTTGCTAGGGCCAGTATTAGCAACATCTCCTGGTTTGAGCTCCGAGAGCTCATCTACACGCTAGGGTAACACTGATATAGCCTCTCAAGGCTATCAGCATAGGAAGACAAAGCAGGTAACCACTTCACACCAGGGGGACATCCATCGATTTAAGCAATAAAAAACTGTATCTTTATTACTGATTGTAATGTAACTGTAAGAGAACTCGTAAGTTTTTGGTGTCGCTTTCTTCAATGCTACGTTAGGCAAGACAAAAAATATTTTATTTTATTTTAACAATGAGAGACTCTCCTCCAGTTAGAGGGCTTTAATATGCTGAAATTGCGACTAGGGTCTTTATGTCTACCGTTCATTTTGGGGCCAAAATAATATG